GTAAAAGGTTGTAAAAAGCCCATGTTTTTCCTAAAGAATATCTGACCTCATGAAAGGAAAGTTATAGTCTCTCTTCTTTTTGTTACCAGTGTTGTAAAACTGGTATTTAAATAGTATTTTCTCCCTGACAATTCAAGGGGAATATAAAAATTAAAATGGCTCAGATAAAAGCACCCACATTTTCTAGTAACTGCCTCCCCATCTCTGAAAAAGTACCCAAACAAATGAACCAAACCTAAAAACCAAACTAAGAAAACCAGGGTTTCTGGCTCATTGATGTAACAGTAAAAAAAAAAAAAAAAAATCAGACCTACTGAGAAATTTCTTGTTTTTTTCAATACTGCTCGGTATGTCATTTTTGTGGAGCACTATGTTCTGGTGATGCCCTGCTGATGTGGTAACAGGAACGATCTATCAGCATTGCCATTATAAACCTCATCTTTATAACCTGCATGTGCACATTTGCTGTTATTTGGTATTTGTTATAAAAATATTCAATTTTCTTTTTAATGACTTGATAATTTTTAAGGTAGAAAAATATAAAAGGTTTCAGAAAGGAAAAGAGAAAGGCAGTTTTAAAAGAAAAATATACAAATGACATTGTTAATTACTTTTAGTAGTAATAGCTGTAAATTTTATTTGTATTGCAGTAGTATCCATATACTCTGCAGAATTTGGTGCTGTGCAAACACTTGAAATTTTTTTTAAATGGATTTAATGCTGGCTGAAAGTGTTGGAATGAAAGCCTTATGATTTTTTTTTTTTCTTTGATAGTGCTCTAGTATCTGTCTGAGATTTGGCTTTTATTGTGATAGATGTTGTACATGTACTCAATTATCTCCATTGTGAAAAGCACTTTAATGCGTGCTTACTTTTAAAAGGGAGCTGAAACACTTGCCGTGGAAAAGAGCACATTTGCAGAGCAGAGAACCAGCCTCATCACGTAAAGCATATAAAGCACATATTTCTTGCAAAGCCACATGGTAGAGGTGCAGCAGAGATGTCTGAGCAGCCTCCACATGTGGTGCGGTGTTTGCATGGAGCTGAAGACATGGGCTGCTGGCTCAGATGCTGGAAGCGGCGCAGCAGTTATTAGCGCAAAACTCTTGCAGCATCAATCTGCAGGTACTCCGTGGAGCTACCTAGCTTGGGTGGTCCTCCAAGCTGGTGAGACCATACAGCTGCTTGGCCCCAACTCAGTGAGGCCCTGAGTATGTTTTTTCCTTGGCTCTGTCTTGCACAGGAGGGATGTACTCCTTCAACCTAAGGCTAAATTCCTACATAGTGTGGTTGGGTTGGGCTACTACACCTGTGCAAAGCCTCTGTGGAGTTTACAGTCTCTGTACCACCTAATGAAGCAGCAGGTGCCCTATTGGTGACCCCAAAAAAAGAAGAGGGGGAAAAAAAAAAAAAAAAAAAAAAAAAAAAAAAAAAAAAAAAAAAAAAAAAAAGCACTTTGCCCTCAGTTTTATGGAGATCGTCATTTGTGTATTTGTACGCACCAAGTGGCTTGCCTGGGATCACAGAGGGTTACAGGACACGGACACAGCTGGATCATACACACAGCTATGTTTCTGACAGTTCTTAGCTGATCCCAGGCTCTTTCATTTGTAATCCAGTGCCTTGCACAGGATTTGATTTGTCCAGAATCCCTCTTGGATGGATGGCTTAATACAGTCTAATTGCTTTTTTTTGCTCTCAACTAAGCTCGTCAGCAGAGTCAGCCTATGATGTAGTTGAAAATAAAAGCAAACAAAGGAACTGAGCACTTCTAATTTTAGTAAGATGCAGTTTATCCCCTTCTTTCTATCTAGTCTTGTGCACCATGTTCTCAAATTTAATTTTTGCTTTAGTTTTTATAGATTAACCATTATGTCTCAGACTGGTTCTAATCGCACACACACTAACTCTTTGGTTGGATTCGGCATATGGTGCTTTTTTTTTCATGACAAGTCACACGCTGCTCATGTAGATTCACATTTAAGCCTCCCCGTCTCATGATGCATTGTGCTGCCTCTAAAGACTAAGCAAGCAGTAGCTTTCATTAAAAAAAAAAAAAAATCATAAATATATTTTACTACTTGGACTTAGTGCAAATGCACAACTGACTCGTTGGCTCGATAGATGTAATTGCTCTCAAGGAGCCTTTATGGTCTATTGTTTCAATTATAAGTGAATTACATAGTCCCCAAGTACTTACTCACTCTGCTTTCAAGGAGAGTGAAAAGGCCAAGTCAAGGCAGGAAATTAGACAAAAAGGACATCATTTTATTGAATCTCTTCACCTTCTGAGTGAGGAAGGGAAACACATCAAGCACAGTCCAAGCCATTTGTGAATTACATATTTTATCTGTCTCAAAGCATTATAAGCCTTAAATTGCATAAATTCAGATGAGGCAAAAATCAAACATAATACACGCATGGAAAAGACAAAATTCCTGAGGGATGAGTCGAGGAATAGATTGAAATAATCTTTCTTCCTGTGATAAGTGATTGGGCAAAGGGAAAAGGAACAAGAACCAAGGATGGGATTAGATCACTGAGAAGCTGAACTGCATTTTGAAGGACATCTTACTGTTTTTCCTGAGTAGCAAAGGCTTGTACGATCTGCAACTTTCAGTACCACACATTCGCCATTGGAAATCACAACATTCTTCAAGAAACTAAAGCAAATGCTAAAATTAGGCAGGAGGAGAACAGATATGATATTATTTGTAAAATAAGACCTTCAGGTAATCGTCATCCCAAGACAATGGACAAGGTGTAGCAATGCTTTAGTGACAACTTTGAATGAGTTTATCATAAATAAGAGAATGGAAATAGTCTACAATAACAACAATGCAGGAACAATAAGCAAAGATATTCTGCATATTTCCTTTATGAAGTCTCTGACAAGGGACTATTTACAGTCCTTTATATAGCCTATTTATATAGACTACTATAATAATTCCAAATTTTCCACATAAAAATATTGGTGGTTTAACCTATATTTCATCAAGAACAATTAATTTATAAACTGGAATGTGAATACTTAGGTGAATCCATTGGTACTTTGGATCAAAAGATCTTCACATGTTTAATTTTCTAGGAGAGGATCAACAGCTCTGTTCCAGCATACAAGATCCTCTGAAAAATCCCAGATTCAACTGTCATCAGGAAGAGAATATCAGTGGAAACATTGTGCAAGTATAGCACAGCTGCATGCACTGCCAACATCCCACAGCCTCTAAATGAAAAAAAAATATTCAGGGTGGTTTGTGGTGTTGATGAAAGGACATTTCCATCTCCTGGAAAGGGGAGTGAAATGTTTGTTTTCTTGTCATTTGGGAACTGGTTTGGAGGCTCTGCACTTTGGTTGTGATCTGTGTCTGGGTGCTTAAATTGTGGGCATGATTCTTGAGGAAGTTCCTGGTGGAGTTTTTCCCTGCCCAGAGGGAGGATTGAGAGAACTCATGGAAGAGATTACAAGGAAGCAAGTGGAGAAAACACGAAGTTCGGAGGTGGATTCAAGAATGAGGGAAGGTTGTACAGACAACTCAGTTTGCAGACTCCTGCTGAACAGGAGAGCCAGAAGGTCAAAGATACTCTGGAGAGGCAACTATGCAAACGTAAAGTCCAGTCAAAGAGTCAAACCCAAGAAGGAAAACATGGATAGACAAACAGACTTTGGTGCCTGAAAGGTCAAAGAAGGAAAACTGAACAAGCAAGGAAGCACACTGTGCCTTGCCGAAGGAGAAGGGACAATTTCAACCCTATCAGACACCAAGACCTAGAATAAGAATGTGGTATACAGAAGAAGATGAGAGCTGCTGAACAAGGAGCCACAAAAAATTATCCTACTCAGTATGCTTTTGCCCACAGGTGATCAACAGGAGAATACTTAGGATAGGGCAAGTCCTCCATCGCAGCACACAGTGCCACACGAAGGCTTGCTGGGAAGCATCTCGATGGAGCTGGGCTCCACAGTTGTGGACTTTCTCTTGTTTTTGAGGTCCCTTCTCTGTTACCCAGGGAACGTGCGTGCAAGAGATCCTCTGGCAGCACCTACTGGATTGGGTCTGAGAGAAAATAGATGAAAGACATCCTGCATATCCCCATGGACTTTATTACTAGTGAGCTGTACCTTTTTGTTTGTTTGTTTGTTTTGTGTTTTGTTTTTTTCTGGACAAAATGCCAGCAGATTACATTTATTTTTCTCTAAGGCTGTATGGAAATTTAAAAGCACTAAATACACCTCAGAATCTGACTCTTTTTTTTTTAATCTTTATTAGTAATTATTATTTTAATCCCATTCTTTGCTACCCATGGCTCTAGCAACGCTGGAAACTTGAACTGATGTATCTAAACCACACACAATGCTAAAATTCAGATTCAGAGACCTGTGGTGTGCAGGATTTAGCTATGTCAGCTATACCCTCTCTAACAAACTGACTCAGTGTGCAAGGTCACCTCTTATCTGTAGCATCTTCTGGTAGAATTAATTTAGGGAATTATCTAGGACAGGTACATTGTTTCCTCTAGTCAATAAAGGGAAATCTGTGCTTATCTAGCTGCTGGGGACCCATGTTTGCTACGCTATCAACACAGGCTCTTTGACTTGACTTCTGGTTCAAATGACAGACCTCAAAGTCTTTTTAAAATTGTTTTTGATTTGCTACTTCTCTGGCAGGGTTTTTTATCTTGTTTGATCACTACATGATTTTTTTTCTTCCTTTCAAAAGTTTTCTCTAACAATAGTGATTCCCATCCCCTTCCTCCTAGCTGGCATATCCATACTCCAGCTCTGGACTTGATGCAGGTTTTGTGACAGACTGTGTTGCCTGTGAAGGGATGGGTCAGCACTTCATCCCAGGAGAAAGAGCAGTGCTTCCTAAATTAAGGTATTTCTGTTTATTTAGGTGAGCCAGACTTAAGGCACACCACTTTCCATGGTATTTCCTGGTGACTTGGCCAGATATTTGCCTTCTCCATGTGCTAACATGCATATGCTCGATATTCAGGTGTCCAACAGCCTTATTTGGGCCCTTCTCCCATGGACTGGCCCAGCCAGGCACTGTTTGTGAGGAACTGGGGATCTTTTCCCTGGCCTGTGTCCCAGGACACCTCCAAATGCATCCCGTCTTCCTAATGGGATGAGACATGGGCATGCAACATCCTCCCACCACACTACCCCTCCTGCTCGTGGGAGGAGACCTGCATGTGTGGCCAGAAGGGCACCAAGAAGACCCTGAGGTTGCAAAGCTGAGGAGCAGAGCTACAACTGGTGCTACCAGATACCTCTCCACCACGTACCCTGCATCGGTCGGTGCATGTTTTTGAAATTCCCAGCACACAAGGTGGTGCCCATGCAGCAACAAGAAGCTGCTTCTTTCCTGTAATGTGTTGCTGTAACATGGTATAAGACACTGAGGACTAATTTGGGGTGATGGTGGGGGGTGCATACGTTTAGTCAGACACCAACTATTTCCTGGAATAAATAGATGGGATGTAAGCCAGTGTAGATAGATTTCAGATGACTGCTGGGATATATGCCAATTGTACCAGAGAATAAAAGCAGATCCAACCAAGTATGTAAGGGAATAATGAGATACAGAATAATTCTTTATAACAATAGAATTATAATAATAACATAATTCAGAGCATACATCATTCTAAATAAAAGTATTATTCTAAATATAGTTTTGAATAATAATCTTAAATAATTCTATGTACAATGGCATGAGAGTGACAGCTGGGCTTTATAGCCAGCGTAACTGAAAACAGTTTTTCAGAGTGATTTTTGATAAAGAAAAGGGATTTGAATAAAGATCTCTCACTTTTACCTGACCCTATAATAATTCCCCATCTTCACATTTTCCAGACTTTTTAATAAAATACAATATCAAATTGTCCAGATCACTAGATCTCTTAAACGGTTGTTTATTCTTTGATAAGCCACTGGGCTGTGCTATTACTCTACATTTTAAGGTTTCATTTCTCATATACCACCTTCCAACATGTTGTTCAGAAGAATGACTGCTTCTAGTGGCAGATTTAAATTGCACAGTAACATAAGAATCTGGTCAATAATTAATGCCACAATAGCAAATAATGAGCTGAATTTTAGCTCAGTTGCTTTTTTTTGTTTGTTTGTTTGTTTTCTTTGTGTACCTGTAAATGCATAGAGTAAACCAATTACTGTTGCATCAAAATAGTTTTCAGGCACATTAGAAGTATCTAGTGATGCATATTACTTGTAATTGAATGCTGCAGTCCAGCTACCAGCTTCTTTCCAAACAGATGCTCTGTTCTCTATAGGTAAATAGAAAATTTAATCCAAATTAAAAAAAAAAAAAAAAAAAAAAAAAAAAAAAAAAAAGAAAGCTTAGCTTCAGTCTATATTTTTGTCCATTTTTTTACAGTGTTGTCACTTGCAGTTGATCTCAGTCACGGAGCATCCAGGTTCATCTCTGTATTACACGGACTTGGTTTTTAAAGGTGCTGCTCCAGAAAAGTATGCAGCAGTCAATATACTAAAATATTAATAATATTTTTAACCAGAGCAAAAAGTTCAAGCAAGTGGAAGTAACCCACTCCTCTCTGGCAGCCTGCTTGGTCCTTTTGATGTTCAAGGTTGCACTGTGTATTGTGTTTTTCTTTTTAAAAAATTTTCTTTTTAGTGATCAAGCTGCAGTGCAAGGTGATAAAGATTCCCTGTGTGTGCTCACTCGGCTTTAACCTTTGTCAGCCACTCAGCACCAGATTTTGTTTCAGGATAAAAACCCCTGGAAATTCTATATATGTTTTACAAGAAAGGATGATTTACTCACCAATATACTTTCTCCTCTTTCCCACATTATCCACAGTTTTAAAATACTTATGAAGTCTTCTTGTTAGGCACATGTAATGCACCAAATCTGCTTGACTGTGGCAGCATTAAATCAGGAAATAAACTTCACATTCTTGAAATACAGCTTTGAGTGGCATAATGGCCCATGCATTATTCTGTGTGGTTTATCTTGTGGCAAGGCTAGTAATCATGGACAGAGATCCCATCACACAAAGTACTGTAAAACACAAACCCAGACAGTAATGCCAAGATCTTGCAATGTCTAAGTAGTTTACTGGGGCAATTTGTGTTGTGATTAGTCCATCTTCTGTAGGGTCTTCAGATCAAGAAATTCAATGGGTTAGGCATTAGCTTGAGTAAGATCCCAAATAGGACTGGCAGAAAAAAGTGCCTAAGTGCTTTTTCAATCTAGCAGGTATCCAAGGCTGTTGAAATGTGAAAATGTCCTGGTGGTCTCTGCAGCATGTGGTGTGATCTAAGACCAGACCTCGCCAGACACATGTTCACCCCAGATGGCAGTGTCTCGAGAGGTCAGACTACATGGCCAAGGAATGACCCATCCTAGGAAGTATTTTTACCTAGTCTGATTTGAGGCATGACAGGACAAGAATGTTTGAAAACTTGTTTTTGCACTGACCAAGCTGCAGAGGTTACACAGACACTTGAGGTTCCAAGACTGTCAATCTGCTTTCTCTCAGGAACATTACATTTGCTGTAATATCTTGCAAATGGCTTTAATTTTAACGCACAGTTTGGTCTATAATTAGTTAACAAGCTTCTCTTGAGCTAGCTATGACAATGATTACTAATTTTTAGCAGCATATTTATAGAACTGGTCACTAAGATATATGCAGTTCTTCATCTTTTTACCACTGTCCTGGAGCATGTAATTATTTTACTGGATCTAGGGACATAGCTGAAAATAATTCTCCAACTGTATTATTAATAACACAATCACCATTAAAGTAAATTTTAAAAATAACTCATTTACCTTTTTTCTATTAGGAACATTTATTCACTGTTTACATTATGCAAGGTCTGGATAGTGGAGTATGATATTCAGAGCTTTCTTTATAGTTTTCATATTCTAGTTCTCCAAGACTATTATAATGAGGCTGCAAACATACGTTTTAGAGGCAAACAAATGACTGTTTTCACTGTGCTTTTGACTTTTCCCTGAATCACATATTGCTAATGATTTTTACGTAGGCTTGATTTTGATCTTTGGTGGCCTGATGAAATAGCGATTTGATGTCTTTTAGAAACACTTGTTTTGACATGTCTTTGGATCCCTGGAAGAGAGAGATCGCCTCTGGGAGCAGAAGCAGTGGACAGAGGGGAGTGTTTTTTTCTCCTGGGGGTGTAGGCATCCACTGGTGCAAGCCAGTGTGTGAAACATCCCTCCCTGCAGGGTCAGCTCCTCGCCTTCTGAAAGAGCCTTTAGCATCCTTCGCACACAGACATTCGCTTTCACGCTCTAACGTGATTTCTAGAGAGTCAACTGCACTCACCAAGGGTGTTGTCCCAAGGGACATGGCTCTTGGAAGTGCATCACCCTGACCTGCTGATGGGAAAGAAGCTTATTATCAAACTGCCTCTCTCTTCCAGAAAAGTAAAAAGCCTGATTTCTTGCTTTTAATCCTTTTTCACCCTTTCCTGAAAATAAATTAGATATTTCAGTGCCGCAGGGTCTGCCAGAAAGGACTGATTCTGTCACCCAAAGGGACACTAGCTACTTTTAGCCTTTGGCTTGCCTTTTTGCCACGGCTCCTTGTCCCCTGTGTCCCAGGGCACTGTGGGCACACTGCTGTCACATACCCAGATGTGGCCTTGCCCTGCAGAAGGCACCTGTTCCCTCTGTGGTGCCACTTGGTGACATCCCAAATATCTCAGCCAATTGACAGATTCCAGCTGATCTACTAATTTCCTAGGAATAAATACCTTGGTCAATGGTGTAGCAGAAGGTGATGAACTAAACTCCTCTTGGATGCTGGTTTCATGGGTCCCCTGAAAGATATTGCAGTGAGGGTCAAGAAAAGAGTTTCCAGGCACGTTTTTACACAACACAGTCAGATGTGTGCTACTTAGCTTGAAACTTTTATTCCTGGTGAGTGCTTTTCAATGTCCTTGCCCAACAAGTGCAAACTTCTCTCTTAATCCATCCACCTCCTCATAAAACAGTAATTCTAACTTGGAAACAAACGAGTAACTCTCATAAACAGAGCCTGTGTCAGTGCATTTTGTGAAGAATACACAATATGAGTCAGACAGAGCTGGAAAAGCAGGGGGGTTGCAGGGGGACCAAGTACGGGCATAGATGTTGGATGCTTAAAAGAGGACGTCACTGTCAGAGATTCTCCACTTTAAAGTGCAGTTATCATCTGGCAAGTGTAAAAGTGACATCCTGGTATGCCACATTTATTCCTCCTCCGCAATTTCTATTCCAAATTCACTCAGTCTTCAAGTCAATACCATGTTTTTTTCTCTGACTGCCAGCACAGCTAGCTCAGCCTGTTACCTGAGAATCAAGCTGTGTTCTTTCTGCTTATTAAAACATTGCCAACTGCAAAGCTTCTGGAATCAGACATTAACTGGCAATACTGTGGGAGAGGCAGGAGAGCTGAGCGCGACATGGCTAGCGCATCCCTAGCTACAGGAAAGAGAGAGAGCGAGCAAAAAACCAAACGGTCCTTAAACTCAGCACATATGCCTCAGGAGACCCACAGAGAACACATATTTACAGCACATAGGTGCCATTTTTATGCAGTTACTTTTGTGACTATCACTACATTTCATGATGGAGCAGCTAAATAGGGAGCCAAAGAGCCCCTTACTCAAATCCCAGCTGTGCCAGATTTCCAAAGGATTCATTATAGAGGAAAAAGGTGAAAAAAAACCTGCAGCCAGGATTTATTTACTATCGATTTTCTCTATCGTCTCTAAACTGTAGCACCTCCTGCAGCATGTAAACCTGGCCAAGGTGCACTTATTCCTTTTCTTACATTGTATGTGTTTGGTTGGTGAGAGAGGTTAAACAGTGTCTTCACAAAGGGATTAAGATTTCTGGGTAAAAGGAGGAAATGAGAAATGACGAGTGAACAAAAGCCTTAAATAGTTCAGAACTTGTGCTGGATTCAGAAGAGCATCATAAAGTCCACATGCTTGCTTGGGGCTTAGCTGAACTCCTAGTGCTTGCAAATGCAGTCAGGAACTCTTATGAGGTCTCTCAGGTTCCGGGGCTTCTCGTCCCATCTGGAAGCTCTGCAGGCTTGAGTCGTCGCTGCTTTGCACCCCGTGTAACCACTTACCTCTGCAAAGACTGAAAGCAAAGAAGGTGCAAAATGCTAGAGGATTACAGCATTTCAGCACCTTCTTTTGCACAGAGGCACAGAAATGGATAATGAACTGTTCAGAGCTGCTCAGTCTGGTTCTTACCCCAGCAGCTTTACTGATGTCTAGAAAACACCTGCTTTCCTCGAGGGCAATATGGCTACTGGAGGCAGCAGATGAGCTTCCTTAAACAACTTCCTTGAATTAAATCCAAAATACATAGGACTAGTGATCCTTTTGGGATCTTAATTTCTCCCAACTGTAGGTTGCACAACGAAAAGGTCCAACTGCCTGGAAAAATATAACCTGATAACTGTAAATTATCTGCCAATCTGATGGTCTCCAAAGGACAGTCAGAGTTTGCACGCAGAGGATGTGGTCCCTGACTGCTCCTCATGAGCCCACTAGCTCTGGCATCATGCAAACTGACTGTATCAGTCAGTTACTGGAGTGGCTGACTTTGGGCCAAATTTGAAAGAAGGTTAATGGCGCTTAACCGGTTGCTGTGTGTCATCTGATTTGCAATAAGTCTCGATGTGCCTGAATCACAGAATCACAGAATGGTTGATGTTGGAAGGGACCTGTGGAGGGCATCTAGTCCACCCTCCCTGCTCAGGCAGGGCCACCTAGCTCCAGTTGCCCAGGACCATGTCCAGGTGGCTTTGGAATATCTCCAGGGGTAGAGACTCCACGACCTTCCTGGGCAACCTGTTCCAGCACTCAGTCAGCCTCACAGTAAAAAAGTGGTTCCTGATGTTCTGAGGGAACCTCCTATGTTTCAGTTTGTGCCTATTGCCTCCGGTCCTGTCAGCTGAAGAGATTGTATGTAATAGCCTGCAGTGAACCAAGCAGATGGAAGCTAATTCATGTATTTCACTGTAGTGTCCAACTGAAGTGTCTAACACAGGACAGTCCCTGGCAAAATCCTTGCTTTGTTTCAGGGAAAGAAAGATGTGAATCTTGCAGTTCATGCTGAACCATGCTTAGCACTGTCAGTCACTTGTGGATGCAGGGTTTGGCACTGGACATGTCTTTAATTCCAAAGGTGTGGAATATTGCCTTCAGTCAGCCTGACAAGCATTTTTCTTCCAGAATTTAGTTGTCAAAACCACAAATCTCAGCAGCAAGTACCACATAAATCTTTAAAATTGGGCAATGGGTAGGACT